ATATCTGTGTAATACTGAAAACACCTCTTCAAGTTAGTATTTTAATTACTTACATTTAAACTTATCAAATAATTTTAAAAATTTTACTTTTTCTACTATTGTTGCAAGCGATGAATTTCCCTCACAAACAACCACAGGTAAACCGTATCCATAAACTGCTAGAATTCCTTTTTTTTTCAATACTCTTTCAACTTCTTTGTAAAACTTTGAAACATCCAGCCAATGGAGTGCTTGTCCAACTGTTATTAAATCAACAGTTTCATTATCCAAATCCATTTCTTCTCCAAAAGATGACCTTATAAATTAAAAATTTATTATATTAGTGCTTTGACATATTATGGAATAAATAGATATTTCTATAAACATCATCATCAATTGATCTGTAATGTGAAAATTATCATTTTTAGATCACATATAAAAAGAATATATATAAAAATGTTAAATGTAATTACTAATATAAAATATATTGTTAAAGATATTTTAAATTCAAATATAACAGAAATGTGTTGATAAGAAAATGTTATTTTCACAACACACAACCTGTAAAAAACATTCAAACAATGACATTTTTTTCTCGCTTCTTCAATAATCAAATCACTTGAATCAATTCCAATGACTCTTTTAAAAAATGGCGATAAAACTTCGGTACTTTGTCCGGAACCACAACCCACATCAACGGCCAATTCAAAAGGTTCGAGTACCTAAAAATTGTAGTGATTACAAGATTAAAAAATTTTGTTGTCTTCTGCTATTTTGAATTTGATTATAACACAAAAATTTTCTAACCTTTTCCCTTTTTGTGAACTCGATAATTTTTTCAATTAGGCTTTTTGGTGGAATTGGTCTAAATTTATTGTAAGTTGAAATATGTGATTCTGCTTCAAAATATTTAAAAGACATTTTTTTTTAAAATAATAACTTTAACTATTTACGAAACGTTAAAAAAAAAAAAAAAAAAACAGCTTTTTCACTTATTTATACGTATTTTTTTTAAAAAAAAACTGTTAATTATTTATTCAATTTTTTTTTTTTTTTTTTTTTGTATTTGTAATTGATGAACAATAGTAAAAGTAAATAAACTATTTTTTATCGTTAGATTACATGAAATTTTGTTATAAATTAATGAAACAACGGACTATCTGAGAGAAGAAAAAATTAATTTATCAATTTGTTTTATTTTTAGAAAAATGAATCAAATTTTGAGTACGACAATAAAATCCAGTTGCAGATATGGTTATTTTTTACCTAAACGCCATTGTATATCTGTAATTTCTAGTGCTTCTGAAACTGTGTCCAAACCTGATAATACTTCTCAAACATTTAAAGATGCTCCAGGGCTTAGTAATAAAATTGTTAATGTTCCTTCAGGAGAAGTAGGACCTGGTGCTTCCAAAAGTTCCATTTACAAAAATGTCGAATATTTTTGTTATAACAATGTGTCTTATTTTGAAGCAGAGGTAGAAATGTTAAAATATAGATTACCTCAACCATCTAATAAAACTAGTAAATAATTATTTTTAAAAAAATTTACACAAATAAAGATTAATTAATAAAGTAGTTTCCTTGTAATTATTATTATTATTTTTTATTTATGTCGCATTTTATCTAAGTTTAACATTCAAACATTATATTTTATTTTTATAATATATATTTTAATAATAATAATAATAAATTATTTAAAAATTTTGTAATGTTTAAAGTTTCACCTCATAAGTAAGCAAACTTCAATAAAATATTATAAATAAATAAAAAAAAAATTAGCAACTAAACTTTTTTTTCGAATTTATATCAAAATGGAAATATCGATATATATATAAAAATTGAGCCCATTAATTAAATTATTTATTCACACAAAATACTTATAAATTTCAGTTAATAATTATTTATAATATTAGGAAATCAAAATAATAATTTGTTTTATTTCATATTAGTACAAAAACACATATAAAAATATATTTAAATCAAAAAAAAAAAAAAACTTAGATAGTGAAGCATATAAATACAAAATGTCGATAGTTATTGTTTTGTATAATTTTTTTAAATGCATGTATGAGATCACAATAAATAGGACATTTAATAATTTATTAAAATCAGTATAAAGTTTTTAATAATAGACATTAATTAATAACAACTAAGGAATATAAGATTTTTCTTTTTTTTTTTTTTGTTTAAATGAAAGCAACTTATGTCGGATAAAACAACTACATAATTTTATTCGTTTTTCATACATAATATATATATATAAATATTTATTTTATTTTATTTGGTAAAAATTTTGTTCTATAGGCTACCCTCTTTATAATTATTATATTGGCATAATTTTATCACATGCACAATCACATATTGTAAAATGTCTTGTAAAGAATATTCGATAAAAATTATTATTATATGATTAAAATTACTCCTTTCGTTTTTTTGATGTGATACCGATTATTCACTTATAACTGATTTTTACCATTGAAATCATGTATATTTGATGTATCAAAAGATATAAAAATATTTGTATGATTATAAATTTGATTATTTAGATTCATAATTAACTTGATGATAAAAAAAAAAAAATAAGCTTTTTTTTAAAAATAAAATGAGCATTTAAAAAGATAAACAGCCCTACTTTTTTTTTTTTTTTTAAAAAATATTATGTGACATGTTTAGTACCAAATTAAAACTTATAAATAATTCAACAATTAATGATAGTGATATTATGAATATAATATTTAATTTTATGCTTTTCCTGATCTCTATTATTTTTGTGTATTTAATGTATAATTATAAATTTTTATAACTTTGTCATTCGAAATCGGCTATTAAAACCATTAACAAAACACCTACAATCATGGCAAATATTTCTTTGAGAGATTGCAAAAAATTTGTGTCTCTCAATAGTTCAGGAATAATTGACACTGTGGAAATGTAAATAAAACCCCCAGCAGTAAAAGGTAAAATCCAAGATGTGGCTACATCACCTAAAATATAGGAAAACAAGACGGAATGATAAAAAAAAAAAAAAAAAAAACTATGTTACGTTTTGTTAGCTTAGAAACAAAACATGATTTAAGGAATCTGATGGCATGACAAAAAAATTACAACACAAAATCAAAAGTAAAGTGATTAGAATTATAAAAAAAAGTACTGAAAAATTGTATGTTAGTATATATACACATAAATAAAAATATACTTACCAGCTCCTTCAGCCATTAATGATGTCAAAGTTCCCATAACTGCTCCAACAGCAGTTACTAATTGAAGGCACATAGCCTGTAACACAATGAAATATGAAATTTGTTTCAAATAAAACACTATCAAATCATAAATTGGAAAATAAAAAAAAAAGTTTTTAAAGTGTGAAATAAACAGCTGGGAATGAAAATTAGGGATAACTTACTCTAACTGTATTTCTTATAGACTAAACAGCTGATAAAAATGGAGGAATTCAACTCAAGTTTTAAATTTCTTATTTATTTCAAAGAATTTTTAGCTTTTTACTTTATAAGAAATAATTAAATATCATTACAGTTTAATGATAAGATAACTAATATATATTGTTTTAAAAAATTAATGAAAAGTGTAATATAAAGTTGCCATAAGTAATCGATTTTCGAAAACTACGATACAAGAGAATGATTATGACATGTAAGAATTCCTTTAATATGAAAAAAAAAAAAAAAAAATGAAATAAAATAAAAATTCATACTTTTTTTTTTGAGCAACCACTTTGAATTAAAATAGCAAAATCTCCAATTTCATGTGGTACTTCATGTAATAAAATTGTTACAGTTGTGATGATTCCTATATTTTTACCAACTAAATAAGATGCTCCAATGGCTAACCCATCTGTGAAATTATGAGTAAAATCAGCTGCTAAATTTAAATAACCAGACACTAAAAGCGAATCTGAAAGTAAAAAAATTATTATATTAGTTAGTGCATGTTTAATTGTATGCTGCGACAAAAATATTATATAAATATAAATACCTTCCTTTTTTTTTTTGCTTCCTTTTTTATCTTTTTCATTTGAACCTTTTTTTGTATTTTTTTCATTGTCTCCTGAATGTTTATCTTGTTTAGATTTATCTTTTTTCGTATTTACATTATCACTGCTCCCGTGACTATGGCCGTGTCCCCCTTTAACCCATCTTACACTTTTTTCAACTAATAGAAATGTAACTATGCCCAGTAAGACAGCCAATCCAACACTCATATCATGTCCATGAGCTTCATGATCGGAATCTTCTGAAGCCGAATCATGCTTTAGCGTTGGAACTAAAGCATGAGGAATTAAATGAAGGAACGCATCACCCAATAATCCTCCCGATGCGAAGCTAAGTAATATTTTTAAAAGCGGTTCTTTTTCTTTACTTTTATCTAAAGGTACAAAAAATAGTACTAAAAAAGGTGCTGCACTTATAAAAAATGTTGATCCGAGAGCTTCAGTCCACAGTAACCATGAATCGTTACTTTTCAAAGACTCAGAATTAGAATGTGTAGCAGAATATGGCAAATTGGCTTCTTTTGAGTATTTAAATGAAGGATTTTCATCCGAATCATGATGGTGATGAGGATGATGATGATGATGATGATGATGATGGTGTTGATTATCGGCGCTTTTACAAAAATTAGGAAGAGTTAAAAAAATTAACAACCAGAAAATAATTGTGATTAAACCATTTAAAAAATTTTTAAATACTGCCATATCTTTACTCATTGTCAATATTAAAAAACTTTTTTTTTTTTTAAAGCATTTAAAAATATTTAACACAAACACTCGCGACTAACATAGAACATCCACGTCTCAACATTAACTACACAGTGGCGCCAACAAATTTTTTTTTTTTTTGAATTTAAACGATGATTTTTCAATGTTAATTAATTCTTTTCTACATTTTTTTTTTTTTTTTTTCTTAAAAGAAATTATTTTTTAAAATAATTAATTAAATATTCATTAGAAAATATTATTGTTTTTAAACAAAAAAATTTTTTTAATTAAATGTTAAATTATTTAATTTTTCATTGAAATATTTTCTAAAAATTTTTATTATAAAGTTTTCGTTTAAATTATTCATTTTTAGCGGGAAAAAATTTTATATTTTAGTTTATGATAATAAAATATTAATTTTATTTTTTAATAAAAACAAAAAAAAGAAATTTTTTTTTTTAATATCAACTTTTATCTAAACAAATAATCCAAAATTTTTTATATTTATTTGAGTGGTTTATTAAATTTTAACCGCTAAATTTCAAAAAAAAAAAAAGACTTTAAAACCGTTTTAACGAAAAAAAGCCCGCGAAAATTTTAAATTAAATCATGTCGGGTAATTCAATATGGCAAAAAAAAAAAAAAATGATAATATTTTTAGATAATAATTTTGATTTTTATAAGTATTAAATTTAAGATTGAAAAATGTATTGTTTTTAAAAAGAATAATAAACAACGAATTAAATAAACTTACAAGTAACAACTTTTTAAATATCAAAAAGTATTAATTACTATAAAAAGAACCATTTTTAATGTCAATATTTTCTTATCATTTTGATTTTATTTAAATTAATAATTTATGAGTAAAACTAAACTAAAACTAATTGGCCATTTTTATAATAATTATATAAAAACAAAAAAAGGAACTTTAGTTTTGTGCTTAAATTAAAAAATTATTTATGGTTATTTTTCAATTTGAAAATTACGATAACTAATAAAAAATATATAACAATTTATTATTGTAGAAAAATATTTTTTAGTTAACAAATAAAAAAGGTACTTTTTACCTAATGTTATTTTACTCAACTATTATTACAAAAAAAAAAAAAAGAAAACTCAGTTTCTAATATTTTAAAATAAAAAAAAAATTTATATATATATATAACAAATTTTCGATTGTACAAACTAAATTATTTATAATTGGTCACTCATCAATTACTGTTAATATTCAATAGTCTTATTTAGTTAACAGTAATTTATGTATTTATTTTTTTGTCATGTAATGTAAAAGAAGTTGTACTCACGTTTAATTTTTCTTTTTTTTTTAAATTTTTTAAACTACTGTTAGATTTTCTTGTACTACTCTTGTACCATAGACTAGTGAGAGGTTTTTCATTTCAATTTCCCATCCTGACTAGTTTCAGTGCAAGTTCTCTATCTTTTTTTCTGCATTATAATTTCTTCGATTCGTTTCTGTTCTTCTATTAGCTTATTTTCAATTTTTGGATTAAAGCTTAAGTAATCCTGAGTCTCGAATAAATCATTTTCTTCATTTTTTTCATTAAATTCTTCTTTTTCAAATAATAATAAATTTTCATTAATTATATTAGTTTTATCATTTATTTTCAGAATATCTTGTTCAGGTGAAAGCTTTTCGTCAATATCATTTTTATTATTTATTGTAATGCTTTTTAGTACATCACCATTGGTAAATTCATCTTCTGATAATTTTATTCTTTTCGATGAACATTTATATTCCTTTTCAGTATTTTGTATCGTTTCAACAAATGCTGAAGGACTGGAGGGAATATTATTACTTTGAATGATATTTATATCTGAGCTTGATGATTGATTCTTTGTAAAATTTAATTTTAATGGAGTTACTTTTCGTAAGTTGGTATCTGTAATTTGACCATTCGTAAACTGTTTAGGCGGAGTGGTCGTAACTGTGCTTATAGGCTTAAACAAATTATTTTTCATTTTTAAATTTTCTAAACTTTCAGTATCAGAATTTTCCTGATTTTCTTTTCTGTAATTTTTTAACAATGGTGTATTTTGATTTTGAACTTCACTCGCAGATGATAAACCAATTAAAAAACCATCCATAGGTCCACATAATTTTTTTTTATTTTTATCCGTTTTATTCGCAGATGAATCATTAGCGATAACTTCCTAAAAAACAGAAAAGTAACAATAATATTGAAAATTTTGAGTAAAAAATCAAAGACCATCACATAAACATAATTTATTTGTTTAAACAATTGAGGTTTCGTTTATATCTCAGTTATTAGTAAGAAAACACTCTTACATAATTCACTATGATTTTAATTAAATAAACGCTCTTATTATAATAATTAAAATAATAAACCAGTTAATGGTAGTTAATACTAACGACAAACATTACAATTAATAATATCAAATTTTTTTGGGACTTACATTTTTTAATTCTTCTTGTACCATATATGCTAATTTTTCATCTTCTTCAATTTGTTGCAAGCTTTTTTTTTTTAATTCTTCATATTTGTTTTCTTCTTCACACTTTATTTTTTCAATTAATTCCTTACTCGCTAACTCTTCAGCTTCTTTTAACTTTTCCAATTCTGCTTTAAAATTACCTATCAACTTTGTAAATTCCTGAGCAATTTCTCCAGATTTTGACATTGGTATATAAACTTCACATTCTTTTTGAACAACTAAAAACAATAATTAATAATTACATAAATGTGGAATATGTGGTGATCTATAAAGATATATTTTCTAAAAAATTTATTTAAAATGAAATAATAAAGTC